CTCTGATTTATGGACCGGTGTTAATAAAAAATGTTATATTGCTGCTACAGCTCATTACATTGATCACCTATGGATTATGCATAAAAGAATTATTGTATTTACATGTGTAGAATATCCTCATAATGCGACTAACATATACATGATTTTAAAAGATATTATACAAGAATATGATATACAAAAAATGGTTCAGAGTTTTACTTTTGATAATGCTAATGTGAACAAAGTCGTTATCGAAATATTTATAAATTATTTGAACCATGCATTTGGAAGTTTATTTTTTCATAAACATTGTGTATGCAACATTATCAATTTGATTGTAAAAGATGGATTATAACATATAAAATTACCTTTAAATAAAATTAGACAAGCAATCAATTTTATTACTGTATCACCACAAGAAAACAAGCATTTAACAGTTTGTGTGAAGAGTATGACTTACAAGAGAAATCATTTGTCACTGATATAACACATAGATAGAACTTCAAATATCTTATGTTACCATCTTGTGAATATTATGATAAACTTATTTCAATATATTATAATCGTAGGCACACATATGGACCCGAGCATAATTTATAAGATTGGGAATGATCTATTGCATTTTGTATGACGAAATTCTTAAAACCTTTTTCAATACCACAAAGGAATGTAGCAGTGTTTATTACCATAATAATTGCATAATTCACTTGTTTTACAATACTTTTATACATTTCACACACATTTTATAAATATAGAAATTTGTCAATTTTTATTAAAGCAGTTTATTATATGGAGTTAAATTTCGTAAATATTGAGAAGAGTTACCCTCTTTATTTTTATTAGCTTTGGTGATGTACTATCGACTTAATTTAACTGGTACAAAAACTATTATAAAATGGATTTCAAATTTCATGAATATAGAATTATCATATGTACATATAGAATCTATGTTATGTGAAATATATAACTATTACGCTGAAAAAGGAGGCTAGGGTAGTTCTACTTCCCAATGTTCATTTTTAAGAAACATTTCAACAAATTCTGATGATCTACGGAATTATTTAGACATCAATACCAGTGTTCCCTCATTTAGTTCTAGTTCATCAATATCTAGAGCAATAAATACCAGTTGTACAAGCGTTAAAATTCCCTCTGAGTTAGCTATGTATATGTGCGTGGNAGAGACCAATACTAGTATTCCCTCATTTAGTTCTAGTTCGTCAATATCTAGAGCAATAGATGTCAGTGGTACAAATCTTGAAATTCCTTCGGAGTTAGCTAGGTATATGTGCGTGGACGTTCGTAGTATGTTAGAACCAAAAGAATTACAGGAATTTAGTTTTTTTTTATCATGTAGAGGTGTAACAAAAGGCAATATCCAATTGTATAAAAAATTGCTCATTATCTACTAAAACCTCCGATGTCTACGATAGCATCGGAGGTTGCACTTAGTTTATATGGTCGAGTTTTATATGACGAACGATCAAAACTAAAAGAAGATATATTGGAGGTTTTAACATGCTTGAAGGACTAGGAATGTGTAGAATTACGTTTTCAAAAACAAGTTGACAGTATAATGGTCGAATAGTTGCAGTAGATTCAATGATAAGATATTGTAAGTTTTTAAATTGATTAGTTTCAAAAAAAAAA